CTCAATGATTGACCCACCAAGAGCTACTGTACCCGATGCAGTGATGAAATGCCGTACTGCTGGTATCAGGGTGCGTTACTATGGCCACACTTAAACGGCTTGTTTTTCAGATGGTTTGAGTTCTAAAAAATAGTTTTTACTCACGTAATGCAATTTTTTTTTCTCATAACTTTAGGTTATCATGGTAACTGGAGACCATCCAATTACTGCAAAGGCAATAGCAGCTAATGTCGGCATCATCTCAGAAGGCAGTGAAACAGTTGAGGATATTGCCCAGAGGAAGCGCATACCTGTGGAACAAGTCAACAAGAGGTGACTGCATCGCTTCAGTCCACAATTTAAACAATTCCCATTTCAGTGGCTTATACATTTGACTGTCTGTACATTTGAGTCTAATGTTTATTTCTCACAATCATTCAGCATATGTCTGTGACAAATAAATAAACGATGTATATTTATTGTATGTGTCTGCACAGTGAAGCTCGTGCTTGTGTGATCAGCGGTGGCCAGCTGAAAGACATGAGCAGCGACGAATTGGACGAGGCGCTGCGCAACCATCCTGAGATGGTGTTTGCAAGAACATCCCCTCAGCAGAAACTGATTATTGTGGAGAGCTGTCAGCGTTTGGTAAATACAAATACACTGTGACCTCTCACTACCCTGCCTCCACCTCATAACTCGCGGCCTGACTTTTAAACTAGTTGTGCACATGTTTCATAAAAGCATATGCTAATATCTTACGGTCCCCTTACAATAAGATATTAGATATTAGACCTTACTATGGCCCCCCTGTGAGGACAGTGAATGAAGAAGCAGCAGGGGTAGAGATTGGTTTGCTCATATCATTTTACCCAGTGTGTTCAGGTTAATGACTGTTTTCATCTTTCACCACCCCAGGGCTCCATTGTGGCTGTGACAGGTGATGGCGTGAATGACTCTCCCGCTCTTAAGAAGGCTGATATTGGCGTCGCCATGGGGATCGCTGGCTCAGATGCTGCGAAGAACGCAGCAGACATGATCTTACTGGATGACAACTTTGCTTCTATTGTCACCGGAGTGGAGCAGGGTGAGACTTGAGAAGAAACTCTGCTGTGTATTAAAAGTGGTCGTTTGTAGAGTGAATTTATATCTTCCTACTTAAAGTACTATTGATTTTGAGGTAAAACCTGTGGTAATTATAAAGATCCTGCAGTTGCTTGTACTAAGCAATGAACAGTTAAAGCTAAAGCACATTGAGTCCTTTTGTTGTCACACCTGTGTATGTGTGTCTGTAGGCCGTCTTATCTTTGACAACCTGAAGAAGTCTATTGCCTACACGCTAACAAAGAACATTCCTGAGCTGACTCCATATCTGGTCTACATCACCGTCAGCGTGCCTCTTCCTCTCGGCTGCATCACCATCCTGTTCATTGAACTGGCCACTGACATTGTGAGTAATTATGTCATTAGTACCAGTTCCTTAAGGAAGAAAATTGCTTAATTACGGTCATTACACTGATAATTTGGTTTAACTGGTGATGATTGCTGTTATCCTATATTTGCTTGCACCACTCACACACAGTTTAGCCCTTAACAGTGGGTGATTTAGTGATATTAATATATTCTTCACTCTCATATGTGCTTTGGACTGATATCTGGTATGTTTATTTCTCTCTCTGGTGTAGTTCCCCTCTGTTTCTCTGGCATACGAGAAAGCAGAGAGTGACATCATGCACCTTAAACCTAGGAACCCCCGGCGTGATCGCCTAGTGAACGAAGCCCTGGCTGTGTATTCGTACTTCCAGATAGGTGCGGCTATAAGTGTTTGTGTCATTACAATATACATGCAGTACCGTTTTACTATTGGAATTGCTTATCCCAGTTACCCTTAACTGAATGACAAACACAAAACTACCTCAGTCCATCCTGTAAAGTGCAGCAGATGAGATGGTACTGCTAATACTTAGAATATCTATTTTGGTCTCTCTGCATCTACATACTGTTCTACATCTAGACTGCATCTACATACTAGAAACTTCTGAACCTTTGTATTCTATCTCTGTTTTAGGAGCCATTCAGTCTTACGCAGGTTTTACTGATTATTTCACGGCCATGGCTCAGGAGGGTTGGTTTCCACTCTTATGCGTTGGCCTGCGGGGTCAGTGGGAAGACGTCAAACTTCAAGACTTACAAGACAGCTATGGACAAGAATGGGTTAGTTTAGACCTTCTGTTTTACTTTCAGTGTTACTATAAGTGTTTTTGGTAATAGGGATATTTGTAATTTTTTTATGGAAGGACTCACTCTCTCATTTCCTCTTCTCTGTGTGCAGACCTACAGTCAGAGGCTGTATCAAGAATATACGTGCTACACCGTGTTTTTCGTCAGTATAGAGATTTGCCAGATCGCAGATGTGCTCATCAGGAAAACACGACGTCTCTCTGCATTCCAGCAAGGCTTCTTCAGGTCAGCAAAGACCCGTCTATACCATGACTTGTTACTAGCTAAATGTGAAGCGGGAACATTTCTAGTTTGTCAATAACTGTGAAAGCAGGATAAAGTAGAAAACCAGCATAATTCCTGTCTGAGTGTTTAACTGTTATCCAAGATAGCTAACCCTGCTGATTGTCTTGAAGTTATGCAAAAAGAGCTTAAAGTGCAACACATGAAACTAGAGTCAGGAAAGTGGCAACTTTAGACGCTTGTATAGCCACTTTTCTTAAGAGCTACAGCTGACTACAGAGTCTTTGTTAAACACCAATTTTGCAATTCCTAAACACAAAACACAAGTTTGCTACATTTATCTGGGAAATTTTCCATGTGTTTTGCCATAAAGGTAACTTTGGTCTAATAAGTGACTGTAACAAGATCCGACTGGGAGATTTTATGTTTTCGTGTGCAGGAACCGAGTCCTGGTGTCCGCCATAGTCTTCCAGCTCTGCCTGGGTAATCTGCTTTGCTACTGCCCTGGAATGCCCAATATCTTCAACTTTATGCCCATCAGGTAAAAACACAGGTCCTCGTTTACATGGTCATCATCTTAAAATCATAGTTCAGACTGGATTAGAAAACAAATTGTCTGTAATCTACAGAATGCATCTTTTATTAAAACATAATATTGAAACAATAGGTAGAAAATGTTTAATATTATACTTACTAAATTACACAATCATTTTTGCTTGTTAATAACCAAAAGGTTCTTTAAATGTTAACACATTGGTTTATTTTCTCTTCAGGGTTCAGTGGTGGTTTGTTCCAGTTCCATTTGGTATTTTGATCTTTGTCTATGATGAGATCAGGAAGTTGGGAGTGAGAAGACACCCAGGAAGTAAGTTTAAAAATCTTCTTCTTCTTCAATCATCATTAAATTAACCATTCTCATTCCATGACGATGAATCTGTCTCTTGCTATTTCACAGGTTGGTGGGATCAGGAATTATATTACTGAGATCATAGAAGAAATTTCAGCCTTTCATCCAGTGACATGCATGAAAGCATCCTTTATTCACAGAACATGACAAACCAGGAGAATGTCACCCAATTCAACACTTCACTGAGATTTATGTATTTAAAGCCTTTAATTTCAGAAATTTATGAATTTTCAAAACTTCCTAAATGCTTTTGACAAAATAAAAAAGGGTTAATCACTATTTCAAAACTTCACAGATGTGTGTTTTTGCAAATCTTTGACTGATTGCATTGTATTTATATTAATAATGAATTTTATGACTGTCAAATCAATTAGAAAATTCAAGGTTTTTAATTAAATATGCTTCATGTGTGCTGACCTTTTCCAACCTACTATGTGTTTCACAAATGTTAACACAGCACATGTGATTCACTCCAGATGTTGGGTTATCAGTTTTAATGGTTAAGGAAAACCTTTTTAAATTAATTTGGCAGAGGTCTTTATAGCTAATATGCAGTGCAACGGTCATAAATAGACAGAAATTTTAGAAATTTGTCAAAAAATAATTTAAACTAAAATTATATCGTTTATTAATCAAATAATAAACAATTTGGATTTTTACACCCAAATTTGAGCTGGCACATTGGACTTCTATTCAAATTAAAATAATTTTTTGATTTAGGATCTTAATCAAAAATCAAAATTAATGACTTTTTGCAAAACAGTACATTTGCAAATTTTTGACTAACAACGATATTTTGGCATTACAAATATAACTTTGATTAAAGACCTTGCACACATTGGTGTATTGACGATTAAAAACATAAAAAATGATTTTGATAACTACAAATACTGTTAATACATTTGTTAAGCACTGTGTGCAAGAGAATTTCTCCAAGAGAAATTTGATTTCAATTGTTTTTGAAAAACACCAATAAGCTGATAACAATTCCACGTAAAACTGATATTTAAAGGATGGGAAGTATATGAATTAAAGTTTAAAATCACACAATCATGTGGCAGATTGAATTTTTTTACATGTTGTGAATATGCAAAAATTTGAATCTCAAAACGCCATGTTTAAAGGCTTTTTGAGATTAGGGGTTTTTTGTTCTTAGATATCATTTACATTTATATTGGTACAAATGTTTTCCCCCTTTTTTAGTCTTCAGCCTTTTCAACTTTGTTGTATTACTATCACAAATGATCTGTGTACAGTAACAGATAATGTGTCTTCAAACATGAGATATGAATTCATTTCCTGTGATATTTTGCTGTTTCATTAAAAAAGAAAAGTGTTGCAGCTCTTTTGTGGACTCCTTTTAGGAGTTTCCACTTTTTCCTTTCACAGAGGTATACTTTGCATTAAAGTCTATTTTGCCATTATTTAGTGAATATCACGCTTAAATACGACTTGAGTAACGACTTAAACCATAAATATTTTAGAAAAGTGTTTACTGATGGTGTGAATAAATGAGAGGTAGGGTCCTTTTTCTTCCACACATTCTTTTTTCAGCCAGATGAGTTGCACCCTGCTTTTTCTTTTCTTTTCTTTTTTTTTTTTACAAAAACAAATGTAATAATAATGCTGGTTTAAGACATGCATTGGCTTTCAGACTAACAAAACTGGTCAAAAATAGTAATTTTCTTATTTGGCTCTGAGTTCTTTTTTCTCTTCTTCTTCTTCCATCTCTTTGGATCCTTCTTCTTTTTCGGACTCTATTCGACCTTCCAGATGGCGATCTTGCCGTCACGACGCGCAGAGCCACTGAGGACATATCGATCCTCGGCAGAGCAGAGAGTCTGAATGCTGTCTGAATGGGCCTGCAGCTCCTTTGCTACCGTGTGGCTCTCTATGTCCACTACCAACACTTGGCTACTCAGCTGACCATTACACTGACCCCCAGCATCACTCCTTCCATGACAGCCAACCCAGATCTAAGAATACAAAAGGACATCAATAAAAGGTTTCATTGGATAAATGAAAATTTTTGAATGATTAAAATAACTGAATGGTTAAACCTCACAAGACATGCTGACAACAATAGTAAAAATATCAATACAAAGCAGCAAACACAAGATCATTTCGTGACCTGACATGCTAATCACAGCTCACCTGGTCTTTGACACGAATCATACATGTGACCCCTGAACTTCCAGGCAGGGAGATTATTTTAAATGGATGCCTGTGATTGTTTGTGCGCCAGAGACACAACTCTACTGAGTCTGCACAGCCTGTCCACAGCTGTCTCCGCTGAAACAAACACACAAAACACATGAACAATCCTGTAACTGAATTTCAGTGGCACATTGTTGCATCTACACTGTGACTGAATGCCACCTACTGGCTGAGACATGGATTGACAGAATGAATCACCACTAGCGTTCTTAATTTACAGACATATAAGCAAGGATTGTAAAGTCACCTCTGGTATATAAATGAAGCTGCTGAAACTACTGGGCATGCTCTGTAGGTCCGTATGAAGTGTTATCTTTCTTTGTGGTGTCCAACTCTTTTTCAGTTCCACAATGCCGTCACCACAACCTGCACGAACACACATCCTCAAATCATTATCCAAACACATTTGGCTTAAGGTGGCTTAATGTGTAGACATAATTGATCTACTTAGACCACCAAGAAAAAATGTCAGGCATTGTCCCAGATACCTCTGGGACAATGTATGTAAGCAATGAGAACAAGTAGACTGTCATGCTCCTGGGCCTCCAGCCCAGTGTTTTGTTTTGTTTTTTCTGGACTTATTATAAACTTCCTTGGATTTAAGAAATATGCAAATTCAAGCTCTGTATTACTGGAGTCTGGAGTTCCCTAGTACCGCTGCGTTTTTGTTATTTATATTGTTAATTCTTGGTTCTTGTTTATGTTAGTTCCCTTTTGTGTCCACTCTGTCCTAGTCTCGTCTCCGTGTCTTGTCTCTGTGTTTTGTTACCCTTCTTTTCTCCCCAGTCTTGTCTCCCTGTGTCCTGTCTCCGTGGATGGTTTCCCTGTCTTACCAAGTTGTTACATCTTAAGCCCTGATCCCCGTGTTTGTCCCATCCTGTCCCTGTAGTCATCTCTCTGTGTTTCATCCTGTGTTCATCCTTTTTGTGTCCCCTTAAAGTCTGTTAAGTCTCTGTTTTTATAAGCCTTTCGTCTTGATCAAGCAGGTGTGTCTTAGTCTCTGCCTCAGTGTTTATGCTTCCTGTTTTATTTTGACACTCCGTTGTCTCTTGTGCAATATGTTTGGTTTAACTTGCCATGTCTTTGATTGGCAGCTGTGCTCCCACCTGTTTCCTCTTCACCTGTATGCATTGTCAGCATCTCCCTCATTGTGTGTACGCTTTTCTCAGTCTGCTTTTGCGTTTGTAAATTACCATCAACTCTGCTCTGTTATTGCCTGTCTCACGTCCGCTCTGTGACATGGAGCTCTTGAGAGAGAACTCATTACTCTGATACACATAATCAGAAACATTGTTTAAATGAGGGAGAAAGAGGAGACAGTGTGTACTCACAGCACCACAGAGCACTGTTGTGGATCTGTATGGAGGAGAGATAATCACAGCTGAGTAAAAACTGCCGCTTCACTTTAAGACTGGATGAGTCCCATTGCAGGATCATCCCATCGCGGCTGCAGGAGTATGTCAGCAGGCTGGGAAAGAAGGCTCATTTAATACAGCATCACAACATGTTCATTAACACATTGAGACTCACTGTAATAAGACTGCTCTCATTTTTGTGTGTGTGTTGGTTTTTGTGCTTTGTACGAACTACAGATTGACACGTCTCTACCTGTTGGGTTGGTTGCTGGCGTCCACTGCGAGGCCAGTCACTTCATGTCTGTGTTCGGTCAGCTGTTTGTTGCTGGACATGCTGTGAGTGTCGATAATGTAGATTACAGAGTCCTGAGAACCAATCCACACCTGCTCCTGGACCAGTCCTATCATACAGTTCTACACAGAGGATAAGATAAGATGTATTTTATTCATCACAAAGATGCCAAATTTCTTATTTCTACAACAGTTAAGCAGAACAAACATATAACAAATAGTTTAAATAAGAAGATGAGTATGTAGCTCAATCAAATACACTACATATGTCTAAAGGTAAAAACTAATAAGAAATTAGAGAAGAAACAAATGTTCAAATTAAGTATGAATTTAAATTAGAATCTTAAATAATAATAGATAAAAGTAAAAATGTGATGGGAACTTTCATGTAGCTTAATGAAAATCACTATATCTTAGAACACAAAGGCAATACAATGTTGAAATATTGGTATCTGTTTTACTTCTAGTACTATAACCCTGCTCTTTTTGAATAACATTGAATACAGAGAACAACAATAATGAAAACAACTGAATGTTTCACTAAAGCCCTCGACCAAAACAAATGTGTCCATCGACCACGCTTCCTGTGTCCCTTCACATCCTCTGCATGGTGTGATAAACATAGACTGTGGATAAACAATTGGATGTAGCGTCTGGGTCTGAAAAGTGAAGCTAATGTGGAAATGTCCCAGACCTCCTCTCAGCAGAAGGGACACACATGACCCAGCTTTACACTTGCCATGTATTTGTAACTCAGCATGATATTTCTGGCTACACCTGTGGTCTAAAAACTTGCAGCTTGTATGATAATATTGCAAGATGGTCTAAAGTTTGAATCACTGAGTACTATAACAATCTAGCACTGCAAAAACGTATTGCATTTTCAGTATACGAATAACTAAGTCAAACAGTCATGAAACTTTATACACATGTTGTTTGAGATCTATAAGCATGTTTCATTTTCATGGAGAAAATCAGTGGAGAGATACATTAAATAGCTCATAGCTCAAATAGTAAAAGCACGCTTCCTCTCACCAGCTGCGACTGTCCAAGCTGGATACAGTCCTGCAGCATTGACCAACTCGCCGCATCAAATACAACCACCTTACCCCCACTGAGAGCCACCCACAGCTTTGGGTTCATATCACCCACTTTGCCAGTACCAGTCAGCTGACCTGAAATGAGAAAGAAACATTCAAAAAATAAGAAAAAGTGTTCTAAATACATAAAAAAGGATAACAGCAGTCAGTTAACACTGATTTTAAATTCATTAATTAACGTTTATTTCACATTTTCCATACACAGTTTTTTACATAACTATATCACATGGTAATAGCTGTTTTATATAGTTGTACAAATATCAGATCCTCTTCAAAATAGTGTGTATGGATAACCAATGTTGATATTGACAAAATATAAATAGGTTTAGTGATATTCTGTTGTAAAGGTAAGTAGCCTCCCCCTCATTTCAATGATACCTGGAGTGTAAAGCAGCACATGTACGGTCTGTGGCTCAGCCAGGTCCAATGATGGGTTGATCTTGTGTTTGAGAGTCTCTGAGGTAGTTTTAGGCACTATCATAGGCACTGGCCAGAGACAAGAACACGATAAACAAATATAAACAGCATATACTGAACATACTCTTCTATATTTATTTATTTTTTCTTTTATCAAAATTACATAATTTGACAGAAACAGACAAAAAACAAAACAAAACAACAAATTCAGAGCCCAGACCTTCTTGTCTGATTTTATTAAAGTAAGCCAGCTTTGCAGCAGCAGTGATGGATCTCTGATTCTGCAGGCAGCCTGTGACAGCATCTATTAGCAGAACGTTGGTCAGAGCCTGAGTCATGTACTGAGGGTCCTAGAGACACAAAGTGAGATTAAAAACCTAAAATAATAACAAAAGGATTAAAAGAAGGGGTAAGGCAGGTTGCACTTAAGAACAGAAAAGTTATGGCAAACCAACAGAGTAGCTAAATCAGTAACACTGCAGCAAAAGCTATAAAAATACTGGCGACCAGTGGCGACCCATCAGCCTCCTAGTAGATACACATATGGTATCAATTTTAAAATGTTAGGTGACTTATTTCTTGAGTTGTTACAAGATTTTGAGGTCAGCGTCACTGAGATTCAAACTCATGAGAGATTTTTAGTAGATACAGGTGTGGAATCAAATTCAAGTCCTACCCCACTTTGTTCTTGAGTTATCAAACTAACAAACTTGGGTGTCCACATCGCCTGCCCACTCGCCAGGCACGGTGATGACAATACCCCATCAGCCTTTTATGGCTGGCAGGTGAAAAGTATAATTTAGACGCAGCATGCAAGCAGCAGCCAAACGTCTGGCTGACAACTTGAAGGACAGTAAATCCTCGATCCTCAGCATTACATAGATGTGGACTGGGAAGGTACGTCTAATAAAATCACATCTGTTAAACTGTTTTAAGATCATTTGAGTTTTCTGCACCTTGTGTTGATCTGCCATCTTGCGTCCAGCCCACATCTCTTTGATCACAAGGTTCCAAAGCTCAGTCTCTGTTTTTAGGTTGGCCTCAAACACTTCAGGCCTGCTGGATGTCTGGATACGAAGGGATGGAATACGAACGAGCAGAAAGGGAACTGAGGTAATTTTTACCTCCTGTAAGAGATTATTTATTTATTAACAGATGAGAATGAGAACACACAAGGCACAATTATCAAAAAATAGTCCTAAAGATGCTACTTGACCTGTATATCTCTGAACTTTGTGATTTCTAAGAAACCGGGCCGTCCTTCAGTGAGCAAAAACAGGCGTTTCTGCGTCATGGCGATTTTACCAACGCCGTGGGAAGTCTTGACACAGGAGGACAACTTGTAGACACACTCATTATTGTCAAGTCGGTCAATTACATCAGAGGGCAGGTTGACATCTTGTGCTTCAGCTTCCATCTCTTTCCAGAATGTGTAGAAGACTCTGAAAAGTTCAGGGTCCACCTGCTTTGGCTGACCTCGGACAGAGGGGTGTGCATACGCAACTAGATAAAGACAAAGACACCCAATCTTACAATCTTTAAGTGATCCAAACCAAAATTTCAATGGTTTTTCCTTTGTCCATTTATCCACAGCTTTACCAAAAGCTGTGGATAAATGAGGCAGACCAAAAACATACCCATGCTAAGGTCCACTGCTTTGGTGCACAGCTGAAAACATCTGTTCTAAAGACGACCGGCATAATACCACACCATGAGCAATAAATTTTCACACTCAGCACTGAAACAGTTAGCATTTGGAGTCATGTTCTTCCACCACAGAGGCCAATATTTACTGCCCTTTTAGCTCTTTTGTTGTTGTTGTTGTTTGCTAGCTCCCTGGGTTTTGCTAGCATTGCTTCTTGCCCAGCATCCAGCTGCCCCACAACCCTGAAATCACTAAGCAGTTACAAAAACTGATAAATGGGAAGCTTTGGTTTGTTCACAGAGTTTCTTTTTATATGCATTAGCGTACAGTTTTTAATTTCAGCAGTTGATAAGAGTAAAGAGAATGATCTTAAACTATTAAAGTCTCGGTTGTACAAACCAAAACTATGGCCTAAAAGACTGACTGAGACAGATATGCAAATCAGAATCTTTTTAATCTTCTTAATTTCTTCGTTAAGATGTAATCTATAGATAAAGGATTATACTAGATCATCTGACAGCTGCTTGAGTTAATCATAATGGCAACTCTGGAGCGTTAATGGAGAAAATAATTAGTGTAAGTAACTTCTGTGTCCATCTTATCAGGTCATCTAATAAAATGACTTGAAAAATGTCTTGGACATTCACAAGCCAATTGTGCACCGCAGCATTTTAGTGAGTTCCCTTGGCTTGCACTCCTGATTACAAATACACATGTAACAGTTTTAATTCTGAGGGATCTTGAGGTTACACACAGCTCATAAGAGAAAGCTTCAAAAAGCAGAAGGCAGCTTTTCTGTTTGACTTACTGTCAGTGAGAGCATCAAATAAACGCTGTATGGTCGCCACATCTCTAACAATCCTACACTCTTGAACGCATCGCATAAACTCCTCCTGATACAGAGGCTTACAGGGAAGCTGAAACTTCTTTACATGGTCATCAGGCTCCACCAGCGGCTTCTCATTGTCTGTCTTAACCTAAGGCAGAAAAAAAAGACAACATCACTGCTTCATCACCAGCAGGTGCGGAACTTCAACCACGATGAAAACGTGCGTGAACCGACCTTGAGGATGAGTCTCTTGAGTTCAGGCCGCCTTTGAGCTTGTTGTCTCTCATCTCTTTGCAGCGAGTCTATGAGCCATGTGACCAAGCTAGTGGGAAAAATTGCAGTGTCGGTCTTATTGAGGTTTTGGAAGTCGCTCAGTGCGTCCAGTCGCCGCGAACACAGTGTGTTGATTAAACCACGCAAGTAGTAGTATCTGCAGGAGAAAACTTATTTTATTCATGTCTCAGGTCACTGGTGTCAGCAACAGCACTGAAAAGCTTTATAAAAGAATAAAGCACAGGGAAAGCTGATTCTAAGCAGCGGGAAGCACATAAATATAGATATAGGTGTATATAATATAATATATAGGTGCGTATAAAGAATAACAAGAGAATACCTGGCCAGCATGGCAGAGTTCTCACTTTGGACAGAGAAAATGGCTTTTCCGAGCTGCTGGATGAGCTCAATGTAATAACTTTGGACAGAGTGGAAGGACAGAGATGCTGGGAAGTCTGGAAGTTTGAACACCTTTATAGGTTTTGGAGTTGTGCTTGGTGCTGGTAGAGACAAAAAACACAAAGGGGAGGAAGGCAGATTAGACAGATTTTCTTTGTCTTGACAGTGTTTCCTTCATTAAATCAGTCAATCAAGTATTATATCTAACTGGATATTAACCCCTGGGGTCTCACCGGGGTCAGATATGAGGATCTTGGAGAGCGGTGTGTTTCTTTGGAAGCCGATAATCTTATCTTCTCTCAAGTTAGGGAGACTCATGCCCAGTCTCTTACTCAGCCTCGTCTCTGTGATGGAGCCCTTTCTCCTGGCTTGAATCTGCTGCATGGTGGGTCTGTGTGGGGCTTCAACCATGGCCTTCATCCTAGAGGATGGAGGATAGAGACAAAAGAGTGCTGCAGAAAAAGTGTTCACCTGAACATTTACCAGCCGTGTATTTGTCATATACTGAACATAATCAGTTATATATTTGTAATAAGCACATCCATCATAACTTTATATCTGAATATATTTTTACTTTCCAGTTTAACGGGTACATGTAAGTAAAGCTGATACAGCCAAACGCGACGTCCCTGTAACAGATCCTAACTTGATGAAGGTTGTGGTGCTTCTGAGTTTTTCCAAGAGTGGTTTGACAACCAGATTTGTGCCTCTTTTAATATTATCAGTTACCTCGATGCTTATTAGGTTAAAAAAAATGTACATACTTTTGCATCTCAGAACGAGTGCTTAGCTCCATTCGTGCAAAGCTATCCATATTCCTGTTGAGACGATCCTTGAGAAATGAATGGAAGATATGCGTCTCCAGCACCTGCAACACAGTCCTGTCAGTTCTTTTAAGGATGCGTAACCTCTCCAGCATCAGTGTCTGTTGAAAGATGCCGGCTGATCTGTCGCCCTTCTAAGCAAAGCAGCACCGAGTCAGCCTTTACCTTCTTATAAAAAAGTTGCTCAGCTGGCTCTCTGGTTTTCAGGAACTCTTCACTGTGAAACACTCGATGTTCATAATTCAGATGACTGCTCACATCCCTGTTATACACACACACATACACATCATCAAAATATTAACACATATTTAAAAGAAGCCTCCCACCAACAGTGGACTGATCAGTAAATTCAGAACCTGAAAATGTTGACAATTAATTCCAGTGCAATCCTCTGGATGTCGTTGTTAAGGCTGCGTTGCCACGTTCGCCTCTGTGCCCGCTGTTCACTGATGTCAGTGCAACTTGCATGGTGGCACTGATCCAAGTCAAAATGTATTCGCAATAACTTACACCTGCAAAATAAATTCAAGTTAAGTGAAAGTACACCCTCAAACCCTCATCAGGTTCTTATCAAGGTCTACACCATGTTGCTACTTATTTACCTAATCCAGAATGCAGAAGCAGTGTGTGAAAAACTAAGTACACCCTTACTCCTTAAGTAGCAGCCAGTTGCTGCTAATCTAATGCACTTCCAAGATCATCAACAAATGTGAGCATCTCTATAAAAGCAGATGTTTTGGCAGTTTGCAGGTCTGGAGTACTCAGCTGTATGTTATTAAAATGCTAAAGGAAAGGCAACAGCAATGATCTTAAAGAAGCGCCTGCTACTACCCTTCAGTCACAGAAGGGTTTAAAGCAATTTCCAAACAATTTAAAGTCCATCATCCTACAGGAAGAAAGATTATTTATAAGTGAAAAACTTTCAAGACAGTTGCCAATCTTCTCAGGAGTTGACATCCCAGCAAATTCACCCCATTGTCACATTGTGCAGTGCTCAAAGAAAGTGCCAATAACTCAAGCGCTGCATCTCAAACTCAGGTTAGATGTTAAAGTTCATGACAGCAAAATTAGAAAAAGACTGAACAGAGGTTTCAATGTAAAGACTCTTTTTCTATTTAGAAAAATAAGGCAGCACAGTCTCCACAAGGCTTCTGGCACAGTGTGCTTTGGACAAAGGACCAAAGAGGAAATGTTTTACCATAATGCAGATTAATATTAATAATGAAAACCAAATTGAGCATATTAGCACAAACACCCTAAGACAACGATCAAGCACGGTGGTGGAGGGGTGATGCTTTGGGCTTATTTTGCACCCACGGGAACTGAGCATCTTGCAGTCACTGAGCTGAACTCCACTGTATACTGAAGCATTCTAGCATCAAATGTGAGGCCAACCGTTAGCTGCCCAATAGCTAAAGATGGTTCTACAAGTTTTTGAATCATAAGGTGTACTTAGCTTTTACCCACCGCTACTGGATCTTGGCTTAGTTTGTAATAAACGATGACACAGTGTAATATGTTCTTGTTCATCTGAGGTTGTAACTAAATAACTGTAAGACCTACTTAGGATGAGATGGTTTGTTTTTTAATTATGTACTTAAATTTAAAGTCTTACAATAAAAAGAGGGTGTACTTTGGTTTTCACATGACTGTAAGACTCTGACTTTTTAATCATTACCTGGTATTACAGCATAGTATTTACTTTAACAGTTCTTGGCAGTAAAATAAAGTACCTCTGTGTGAAGCAGTGTGCAGCAACTGGAGGAATGTCCGGTAGGTTAACAGTATCAAAAGTAGAAGTGCTGAGACTTCCATTATCAATGTTAATTAAGATCAGATCATCTGTTTCCTGTAGAACACAGTAACATAAACCGGGTTCAAACAATTATAGAACTACTAAATTATATTTGAGCTTGGTGGTAACTCCATTTCTTAACCTTATCCTTTACAAGAGGTGGACGAATTAATGGGAAATTAGAGAAGGTTATGTACTTACAGCTGATACGTCTGCAAAATGACTGAGATGGCAGCCCATAAGAAAGGCTGTAGGAGCCATTAGAAAGTCCAGCATGCCTTTAGCCAGGACAGGAACATATGGGTGCTGCCACAGCAGAGGCTGGAAGAGTTATTAGACACGCAAGGAAGAAATGAATGGACCAAAGATTAAGGAGCGGATGGCTTTATTATGGACTGACTAGTGTTGGCACTTTTTAGACATAATAATTTAGGTTTTCTATACAGAAGCTCTAAAGTTTAATATATGTGACTTTTTTAATGCTTAAAGGGAAATTAATAATTGAGTTATCCATTTTTTATATCCCTTACTGTAATTTGGTGTAACATTAATACCAATTAACATCCATCATCCAGACACACTCATTTAGATAAGAGGAATTTCATTTTTGCAAATTTTATGAAATACCCATATTCCCAAGGTTTCCAGCTGCACCCTTCCTTTTAACTGTGGCACTGACCCTTTAAGACTTTGATTGTAACTCTCAGTACTTTATATTTTTTTAAAAGGATGGAATTAATAAGTATTCCATGCTTATACTAACTCTAGACCCTTGAAGATATGCTGTGGATTTTGATCTAACCTGCAGAAACAACAACAAGCTCTCTGCCATCAGCGTGAGTCTCGCCCAGTCAGCAGAAAATAACACCACCCGCTGCTCCTGCAAGAGACATGACAGCACCTACAGGGCGGGAGACAGAAGAACAGAAACAGAGGGAGGGAAGTGGAAATGAATGTGAGTCTCCACTTGTTCGATTAACACAAACACAAAACAATGTGTGTGGTACCTGCAGCAGCTGCTGTGGCCTGAAGCAAAGGAAGGGCAGGTGGAGGTCTAAATCTATAACCGGGTGGTCCTTGTCTTCTCTGGAGGGCAGTATGATGGTCAGAGGACGTATTGTAAACATCTGTAAAACATGTGGATATGAATGTAGTGCACTGTGCTGGATACACTGGCCTACTCTGAGCTCCAGATTTTGAAGACTCTTAAAGACAAATTTTAAAGTCTTTATTTAAGCCGATTACAAACACACACAAACCAAGTGCAGCTGTCCAGGAGGTGGAATTGGCACAAGTGTCAGTTTGGCCGCAAACTCCTTCACTCTCTCTTCCATGTCTGACAATCGACAGGTTCTCAGCTGGATTAAAAGACTAGCAAATCAACAGAAAGAGTCAGACGAGAAGAAGGTTCTCTAACCTGCCATAACCACACTTCTGACAGTCAGATTTCTTACAGCTATTTTTAAACTCAAGAGTCAAAAATGTCACAAAAACCTCTTTTTGATCTTAGGAATTTAATTTGCTGAGTAATTAGGTTCAGTTCTCGGGTTTCTTACCATGAAAGACAGTCTTTGAGTGCAGTGAAGTAAGGATGCTTGGATATGACACAGATGCTGTAGGCACAGAAGAGTTTAGGACACTTTGAAGACCCTCTACTATTTCGATAGAGAGACATCCCTTCCTGTGGAAACACAGATAATCCAACAGGGACTTATTTTCTTTTAAGGGCTTTGTTAGTTTCATGAAACATTACAGTACACTGCACACATGCTGACTGCTTATATTATTATTATATTATCATATGCAGTATTATGTGTAAGTAATACGTACCAGTATTGGACGGTAGCACTGCATTACTACTCCATGGGTCTTGTTGCCAAGGATGTCTGTGAAAACCAGGAAGTGGAATTGTTCCTCTTTCTGTTCACTGGTTACTTGGAGGCCACCTGGTTAAAAAATGGAAATGTACATGTACGCTGTGTTTTATGAATACAATGTGTCATTATAGTACTGCTACAGCACACACAGCCAGAAGGCACGTGTACAAAATCTCTGAAAAACTCTATAATTAAAATATAATGATATTTAAGAGAAGACTGTTGGTGTTTTGATGATATTTAGGTGCAGTATATACAGTACAGTGCAAAAGTCTTGAGCCACCCATATTTCTTCATTCCTTATATTTTGCTAGAAAAACAGGGAACAGGTGCAGAAATGTGTTGAAACATGCAAACATGAATGGACATACAGTATATAAGGCAAAACCAGAGTTTGTACTATTCTAATGATCTGGTGTTGCATGGTGGATCAAAATAACATGCAGTTAGAAACAACGAAAGCACCTCCACCATTTTTTACCGATGCCTGTAGACACTCACTGTTGTACTTCTCTCCTGTTCTCCTCCGTAGATTCACTCTATCAGAGCGGTTGCCACTGATTTTCGCTGCAGTTCTTGAGTAATTTGACATACCTGAGGCTTTTCTCCCTGTTTCCTTTCCTGAAGAAAGGCTTCTTAACAGCCACCCTGCCACAGAGACCGTAGATGGACCAGCTGAAAGGCCAGATGCATCTCTGAGTCCGTGTGTCAGGTCTTTGGTGGATTTTTTCTTATTTCATAAGGATGTGACTTTCATATGTTGTAGACTGTTTTTAGGTCTACCACTTCTTTTGTACTCCACTTGTCCATCCATCCATTCATTCACTTCCGCTTATCCTTTTCAGGGTCGCGGGGGGCACTGGAGCCTATCCCAGCTGTCATAGGGCGAGAGGCAGGGTACACCCTGGGTAAGTTCGGTGAGATAGATACCACGGTGGCCTTGTCAGAGGGGTAGGCAAACCCAGAGTTTGCTCCCCCAGAGTCAACGGGGCTCTGTCTGGCAAACATGGTTTCTCGAACCCTCACCCCGGTCCATATTTGCATCCAGAAAGCCTCACCCTGGTCAACAGGACTCAGTAGCCCCGAGTGAGTGCTCTCGCACGCAAGCAGTGGTACCGCTGCCCCCGAGGGGCTACCTGGTTGAACCTGCCAGTAGCATATGCTCAAGACCATATACAAATGTTTGTTGTAAGTTTGCCAGTGTCCGCCATCTGAATGTTTCATCCCCATTAAAAAAGCCATTACCATGTTCCAGTGGACGTCAGTAACATGAGCTTTCATCTTGCATTGTGTATGTGTATATGTACTATACGTGTGAGTGTGTCGTCTTAGTGTGTCTTTGTGTGTGACGTTGTGTGTGCTATGGAAAACCTTTTACCGGGGAAGCAGAGCTGAGGTAAAGCCATGAGATCGATGTTTTTAGGTACACTGACATCTTCTATTCCTCCTCTTCGACCTGCTTCCTCTCCACCTGCAAAAAGGCAGCTGGTTGGAGAGACATAAAAACTCCAAGACAAAAAAAATCTATGGTAAGATAGGTAAAATTACGAAATACGATATTAAAGATCAATAATTGTTTTGTATTTAATAATAAAGTGTTTTTTTCTCATGTTCCAGCTGAGGTATTTATGGGTCAAATGTAGCAGACCTTGACTGGGTGTTGGTGCAGCTGAAGGAGGCAGTTCTCTCTTTTTCCTGATAAAAGAGCGCCGCAGCTTCCCATGTGATCTCAGCATTTCACTTTCAGCCTGTGTTCTGCTAACAAAAGGTGGCGCCAAGACTGAAAGAACCTCCGGCTCCAACAGGAGGTGTTCGAGAGTTTCATCATCATTAATGGTCTGAGTGGGGCAGAAGATGGGAAAGATTTAAGAGGGTGGGAAGGGGGAGGAGAGTCCTTTCTCATACTGTACCTAAACTAGAACTTTGCTGATATAACCAGTAAAGGTTTCTGTTTATCATTACCATCACCCTTTTATCAGTTTATAGTAAATTACTTATGTCAAACATTTGTGTATCGGAGTGTATTTTAAGGCAAAAACCTGGCAGATTTCCTGGAGTTTGTCACTGGATGCTCCAACTACCACACAGGCTTCCAGCAGAGCAGGCGGCAAAGAGTCTGCCATCTCTGAAACCAATCCACGACCTGGGTGAATACACCTGACCAAGGGTCTACTCAGATGTGCTGGATCTAGAGAAATACAGAGGCAGGCTAGAGTAAAATGAGCTAGAAATTAGATACACATGAGGAGGTAAAGATAGAAGACAAAATATACACTTGTTTGTGTAGTAATAAATCAAACAGTTGTCTAAGCTCTCTTATCGTCATCCTTCTCTTTAAAAACAACACTTCTCAGCTAAATAAAGCTATAACACATGACCGAGCGGCTGTTCCAGCTCATTATTAGAGTCGCTGTTTTTGTTAGCATCATAAGAAAAATGGCTCCGATGAAAACTTCTCAGAAACCAGTGAGACAACACCATGTCATTGCATAAAACGTGCTGAATGATTCTGTTGTGCACTTGTTTTTGCACTTCCCTCCATAGTCGGTTGAAATTAATTCAAAGAGAAAAGTATCGATACAGAGCAAAGCATCTCTTGTTACTCCAATTTAAATGCACAGGGCTCTAACGTCATATAAAGTTATATCACAACATTTCTCCCTTTCATACTTTAACATGTGAAACCATCACTGTCTGACTGATTTTACAGATTGATACCACAAAAGAATGGTAGGATTTGACAAATAAAAACATAATCGTTCCATTTTCGTGACAAAAAACAAAACTCCTGAGACATGGTGTTGACATCATAAGTTTAAAGCTGCTGACTGAGTGCTCAAAGAGTTCTGTGAGAATATAAAACGAACCTCGCTATGATGACTAACAGCTGTCTGGTTGTCACAGCACCGTACATCACTTTGTAAGTGCGTTATAAACACAATTGATGTGGACAGTCCAACTTTTTCACTACAATTTATTCATCAGCTAAACCTTTAATGTTGGTTGTTTAACTCTCAGACTTGTTAATGTAACAAAGCATATTATTTATGTTGTGGCCTGTAAAATGAACAACAATAAATGGCCAATAACATTTAATCTGAAGGCAACCATAAAGCAAATCCAAAGTGAGGCCATACTTTACACGATTACATGTGGAAAGTATGGACAGTACATGTAGCACAGTTTCCACAATTCTGTCTATGTTGTATTATTATCTTTGGCTGTACAGAGCATTATTATTAGTAGTAGTAGTATTATTATTAGTAGTAGTAGTATTGTAAATCCTATTCCCTTTATCATCTGCTTCTTTTTCCTTAAAGCTTAATCACCACATCACATTTCCCTGATGCTCCAGACAGTCTAGTCTTTTCCTGGAAAATTGGGATCATGTGTGCAGAGGAAGATGGAAACATGCACAGAAAGCAGAGATTGCTTAGAAGTAGGCCACAAGTTCTACATGAGGGCTACATGAGTTGATATACTACCAGCTTGCTTTGATATAGTTAAAAGACTAAAAGGACTTTCTTAGAATCTGAAACTTTAAATGCTCTCACAGGGACATCAGCACTTCAATCAACTTATTCTAACAATATCTTAACCTTGACCAAGTAACCATGGGAACAGGGTGAGACTATCCCCTTGTTTAGTCTAAATTAACAGCTACTCCACAACACCAAGAATGTTAAGAATAAATAAAGTATTATTGCAAAAGCATGCTGCATACACATGCAGACGGCTTCTTTCAGTGATGTGATTATCATTATCACAGTCACATGACCCCTGGAGAAAAAAGGGTAAATTCCACACAAAACCACCACAGCACATATCAAGGCAAGTGTAGCATGTTCTGATAATCGTTTACATGTACAGTTTACGTCTGGCTGCTACCAAGCACTTGTATCAAAGATACAAGTGCTTGGTAGCAGCCAGACGTAAACATGATTTAAAAAGGAACATTATGACTTTTACTATCAGTTTAGCGGAAAATGCCCTGAAGTTGCCTGATGCCTAAAATATGATGTCTCCTTTGATCTGCTCCCATACTAATTGTGAAAAGTGCATCAAACAGGGTTCAGCTTGAACAGTGGCACTGTTACCAACAATCGAGATGAGGTTAAAGTGCAGTCAAAACGGCTCAATGATTCTTTTTACTGTTTTAATTTTTACTGTTCTTTTTATTGTCTTACTGCTGGGTCCATCCTAAGCTGCCTTAAAACTACGCAGCCCCTGAAACATAATGTCCACGTCAGATCATTGCCACTGTTATGATGGAAGGCAGCATATACTTTTTTCTGTATAAAGGTCACAATGTATAGTTGTATATCGGCACTTGCTAGAGAACATTAAAGTGCCACACTTTAAGTTTAGCAATAACTGTTGTATAGATGTTGTGACATGTGATTTCGAGTCACACGCTAAACGGGTGAGATGCTTCTGTTTGCACAGCACACACACACACACACACACACACACACACACACAAATGTGTTTTAAAGTTTCATTGACTTGTCACTAACCTCCCCACTCACAGGCTTTGCAGCTCCTTCTTATTTTTCCGCTCTCACATTAATAACGCCGATGCGGAGCTGAGCAGTGCGCAGCACGGACTGCGCAGCCAGCTCCTGAGCTGCTGAATGAAACAAACTCATCCCAGATAGTTCCCTTTAACGCGGTCTGCTTCCTGTTTCGCTATTGTAGCGGTTCAAACATGCGCACTGAATATTTGAGGAAGCGCAAAAATCTTTTATGGACTTCAACACACATGTTAGGTTTAAAGAGTACATAAAGCGTAAGTGGGCTCTGTATGAATGACTGGAACAATCTTTAACAATTAACGAAACACGTGTTTATTCTAATGTATTATATTTAGAAAACGCTCATATTAAACACAAATACAATCTTGGGACTTACTGTGGTGATTTTTTATTACATGAATTCAACGTAAAAGGTTACACCCATTACAAAGAACCCTATCTGAGTGGATTAACAAATTACTCTACATATCTAAATACACATCTCTCTATAACAAAATGGAGCCCGAAAGAAAAAGAAAAGTTTCTGCTGTGTGGGATCATTTCGATATTTTAACTGCAAATAAGGTAACTGTTTGTCTGTCTTTGTTTCAGTGTAATCTATCAGAATAGGAAAAACAGCAATGTGACTGGAAGTGTAAATTATTTTTTTCATTTTATGCAGGTTAAATGAATAAACATGAAAATGAAGAGACAAACACACCGAGAATGAACACAGGTAGGCTTATATAGACATTGAGCAGCTTTATCATAATTTTTTTTTTATTAATATGTGTTTTATTATTTGGAAATCAAGCATCTAGGAAGACTGTTCTGGGCCAGGCAGTCCTGAATTTTATTATAAAAGCCTGCCAACCCCTTAGTATTGTGGAGAGTGAGGGGTTCAGGGGGCTGGTTCAGGTCCTTGATCCATCATACGTTTTGCCAACCAGAAAGGTTTGTATAGACAATGTCTCATCGGGTAGCTGGTGTTAAGTACTGCATACTGATTTAATTTTGTTTCATCTTCAGACCATCAAGGAATTGACAGCCAAAAAACATGCGGAGGAACTCGAACGAGTGAAAATGGAAGTAAAGCAAGCTCTGGCAGTGAGTATAACAGCTGACATGTGGACCTCTTTGAACATGGAGGCTTACTTGGCTCTTACCTGTCACTACATTAATGAGAATATGCAGTTGTGTACATATGTGTTGGGTGTGAAACACTTTCCACAAAGTCACACTGCAGACAATTTGGCCCAATTCAAAACGGGCATGATGGATGACTGGGCCATCACAAATAAGGTAAGGTGTCTACTGACCGACACAGCACCAAACATGATTGCAGCAACAAGAACTCTCCAAAGTCGACATTCAGTTTGCACTGCACACAAAATACATTTATTAGTCAAGAAATCATGTGATAAAATCTCTGAACTTTCATCCATAAGAGACAGATCTAGACAAATTGTATCGTTCTTCAGATCCAGCACTACAGCCAAAGAAAAGCTTGCCAAAGTGCAGCAGCAGATGGGACGGCCCATCTTGAAACTTATCAACGAGGTACCAACACACTGGAACAGCACATAACAGATGCTGTCACGGCTACATGATGAGAAAGAACCAGTCTGGGTATCTGTTGCTTCTCTTCAACAGATTTAACTCCACTTACGGCTGATGAGTGTAACATCGTAAGGGAAGCACTTCTCGTGCTAGCCCCTCTCCATCAGGCCATAGTGGAGTTGTCTGAGGAGAGTTTCAGGATCAAAGGTCATCCCGATAATGAAAATGCTATATTGTGCACTTGAGCGGAACTCTTTACATCTACACACACAAGCATCTCCATGACCAACTTAGGCGTCATGTCACAGACACTGCTTCTAACCTGGAGTCATTAAGTGTGTTGACCCTATCAACACTTTTAGACCCCAGATTTAAAACACTCGGATTTCGTAGTTCCTCCAAGTGTAGTGAGGCAGTCAGTCGCCTGAAAATGGAGTGTGCTGCAGTCCCGCACAGCATCTGAGCCCTTCATCAGAGAAGTCACCTGTTCCAGACAAGTTCAGTATTATCAGCTTATTCTTACATTTATTTTGATGCTAATGTGTACTAATTTGGGGTAGATGACAAAAACTAAAATGGCCATGGATTTTTTATTATTTTAGAAAACCTGCGGCTCGATGAAGAAGTTGGCAGACAAACCAACAATGCAACAGTAGACTCCATCATTGAGGTCCAGCTACTTGGCAGAGAGAAACATTCCAAGATCAGAGGATCCTTTAACGTAGTGG